AATGTCACTTCTTATCCTCACTAAAAAGCTGGGTCCTTCTCTCTGGGTGCAAGACCTGGGCATTTCTTGATGCTGTGTACACTCAGCTTGAAGCACAGAGCCCATGGTGATATGGCCCTCCATGCTGCTGCTAGGTCATCCAAAGGCAGGAGGCAAAGGGGTGCTGCAGCATTTCCAGAGAAAGACGGATTTCTGAATGGCGCTGACAGAAGAAGGGGACTAAGACAGCAACACCATGTAGCAGCAACTCCCTGAGCTCTTTGCTTTAAGGAAAAAGTTTGTCTCTTCAAGTGGGGTGAGGTGACACTATTTACTCCATCTAGCAGGGAAAATGCCCTGGTTCCTTTGTCTGTCTCTGCCTGGGGCAGGTGAGGTCCCTTAGGGCAGCATGAAGGACTCCCTGGCAATTCCCATAGGTAAAACTCCCTGCCTCAACCTAGTTGAGAACTAGTGGGGAGCAGGGCTCCTCCTGCCAGTGCCTCACACAAGGACAGCTTCACATTGGAGACAAGGCTCAGGGTAGCGATGCTTCTGCCATCAGCACCACTTGCTGACCCCAGTGACTGTCACTGCCAGGCTGAGAAGCACAGGGTGCCAACCCAAAAGCAGAGTGCTTTTCTTGGCACAGAATGATAGGGAAGGGCTGAGGAGGAGGAATCCAGACCCTGCTCTCCCTTTGGTAGTAAAGCATTTTTTTGTCATTCTGGAGTAGTGCACCCACAGGATTTTGTATGGAAAGAAATGAAATTTCCATATTTTGAATAGCAACAGGGAATACAATACAATTTGTATCATGTTCACTATGCTCATTTATACATCCCTGAATTGTTTTTGCAAGAAATTTACCAGCCTAAACATCTGAAGCCCCCCCTACTTTTTCCCCAGTTGCCACTGCATTTCTCACCAGAAGAAAACTACTTCCCAGAAGAAGGGCTCAGTATCGCTGTTGCTACAGCTGCTTTTCAGGCAGCAAGCTGTGCAGCTCTGCTGGAGCAGCTCTGCATGCATGACAATCACAACACTTCAGGAGTTCCCAAGCCATTTGTGCACTATGCAAAGTTTTTCATATAGATGAGACATTTTTTCACTCCCGTACAGCTGGGAAGAGTTGCAGTCAGGCGTTCCAAATTACTTAACTCCAGATCAAATGAAACATATTAGCTCCATTGCTTTCCAATGGCTGATCTACGTAGAAGAAAACTAGTCTATTACTATTACCAGCCAGGAGCTGCATTTCAGAGGAAGCAGTAAGAATTGATGTTCATATTGTTAAAAGTCATGGATTAAAGTCCTGTTGATGACCTGGTATTGGGACTTGCACTGAACTGTAGAAAATTATAATTAAAAAAGTGTATTTTTCAGAATACAATGAACAACTACAAAAAGAGGTTTCAAATGAAAGTTTCTTTGTAAGCCCCACTTGAAACTACACAGTAGCATTCAGTACTTCTAATATCTACAGCTTATACCCAGGAGCCTGCACACTCACATATTTTCTGTTTTATACCCTGAAAAAAAAAAGAAATTGAGTATATATCGGCTAACACCCACACAGCATTCTTCCTAATGTATTTCTACAACTACCAAGCAGAGGTCTCTTTGTAAATAAAAGCAGTCTCTTAAATTTATATTGCACTTTTCTTCTGCAGGGACTTTCATGCTATATACACGAATAATATCCACCATCGCTGAAATGCAGTTGGTTCTGGAGTGGAAAAAAAGCAGCTACTCGATAGGCACAGAGCAACATAAAACATCAGAAAGAGAAACATAACATTAGAACTGCAATAGATATTTAAGCAGACAGACTGTAATTAATTTTAAGGACTGTAATTTAGCCAGAACATTGTGAAAAGTGTGAAGGGATCTTTAATTGGAAGGGGTAAAGAACATGGCTTTGTATCTCACCTAGGATGCATTACCACCCCAAGGAGATTTGTCCCTCAAGCATAGAGTAGTAAACCACAAATACCACTGTCCCCAAAGAGGAGGGACACTGCCTCCCCTCCACCCCATCACCGCACAGCTTCCCATCCTTGTTGCTGAAGTACCTCTTTCCTCTGCTACTCTCTCTCAGCACATTTGCCAAGGAAATGAAGTCCTTCTTTTCGACCTTGGTAGTTCTGACAAGCTGAGGCACTTGAGTTAATGACTTCCCCCAAACTTATCACCAGCTGATTTCTAGCCAGAGATAAAGGAGCAGAGGTCTAAGCAGGAAGGGGCTCCCTGAGACTTTTTCTGAAGCTGATGGGTCCACACCTGACAGCAGAAGGCTTCACCTCTGGCTGGGGCAATCTTCTTGCTCTTCCCTGGACCTACAGCCACCAATGGGCTTCTTGCCCCCTGTGCCATGGGTTTGCTTGGTGAGGCACTTACATCCTTCCTTGCAGGAGCTGGCAGGAGGGCATGGACACCCTCCCTGCAGGTGTCTCTTTCTAAAAATGTGGTGGCCCTTTGCTGACACTCACCTCACAGGTAATGCTAAACATCAACAAAATGTGCTTGTGCAACCTGGGCTAAGCAGTCTGTAGAAGCAAGGCCACAAGGGTCTCTGCCTTAGTAAGAGCTTAGAAAGTGAGATGGTTGCCCTGGGCTATCTCTTACCGATGGGGAAATGTTTCTGTCTCCACCTTCTGCCCAGCAGGAGCCTCCTGGAACCAGCAACACAACACAAATATATTGCTGCTGACAGATCAGGAGCCATCATGAAGTTCCCAAGGGCCCCTGGAAAGCACCATCTCTCTCCTAGGAGTAAAAGTGGACTCTTACCAGGAATGGGGTGATGACTTCTGACCTCTAACAATCATGGAGGAAAGGAAGAGCATGGGACTGAAAGAACTCGGCTAAAAAAGGATGGTGGCACTGGCTGCCCATGAAAATGGCAACAAACAGCAAGAAGCAGAATTGCTGTTTGCACCCACTGCATCCATGATGCTGCCTGGCCCTAGGCAACAGTCTTGGGTTTCCAGGTCAAATATGCAGTGTGACCAAGGTCTGGGCTCTGAAGGGAGGAGTGGAGACAGAAAAGACACAGTCCTAGTTCTTGGAAATGGAGAAAAGCAAATTAGTAAGGGAGGCCTGTATAATCCCCTCCCACTGTCTTGCATTGCCTCCTGTGAAGGAGGTTCCCTTGCCCCTCACAGCTGATATCCTTTCTCTCTCTGGTGACTGGGAAGCATTAGTGCATTAGGGCAGATGAATACCTTTCCAGGATCTAGGGAGTGATGGATTTCAAGACTTCAAACTGGATCTCCTGGGAGTTAGGTAAGAGCTTCCCCCCCCCCATCAGTGAAGAAAAGGAAGCACCAGCTGTGGCTGGAAGCTGAGCGATGGAGGAGGCAGCTAATACATTCAGGTGATTTCAGATAAATGCAGCTGTCTCAGAGAAGCTGATATATTCATCAGAAATAGGTAAGAAGCCATGGGTACTGAGGGCTTCAGTGAGAGAGCTAGCTTATCATACATCTCTGGTGCCTTAGATAGGGGTTTTGGATGGGGTGTTCCCCAGGAGGAAGAGTACCACTTAAATGCCAGAGCATGGGCTAGTAAACCACAATTCATAGTCCTGCGGGGCTAACTCTGACCTGTGCGGGAGATTACTCATGTCCAGAGCTGCTTCCAGATGCAACAAGGCTATCACAGCTCCTTTCTGGCCAGTGGAGGGCAGACCCTTCTCCTGGGGGTTTAATTTGGAGTAGCACATTCCTCCACCTGCTACAGGTCTGCAAGCAGGGAGAAACATCAGCTTTACCCTTTCATGACACCAGCAGGAAAAAGGTGAATTTCCTGTCTACTTGTTCCTCAGTGGCAAACAAGGCCACAGTTCAGCACAAACCCCTCTTTTGGGTCAACTTCCTGCCTCCATCCTTCATCCTTCTTGGGGCATGTTCCTACCTGTTTCACCTTTCAGCTCCTCTGCCCACTGCTTTGGCAGTGGAAGCCGTGTGAGTGTCTGTGTGGCTGCATGTGCTGACAAAATTCAGCCACCTCTCCCCTGAGCAGCAATGCTGTTGCACCCTTCACCCATGCTGCAGCTAATGTGCCATGCATGCAGAAAGGCCTCTGGAGGTGAGGATGCAGCATCAGAGCTGCCTGAACTGCCAGTCCAGGGGCTGGATCATGGGCATAGGACTTGCTGTCTGTCTGACAAACATTTAAATGCCTCACTGTTCCCATAATCCAGAAAGCTTGAGGTGGAGAAAGTTAAGCAATGGAATAACAACCAAAATAAATAAGTAATGAAGTAGAGGCAGAGAAGCAATCCTGGATTTAGGGTTTAGGTGGCCGTCATCCCAATATGCACAGGGGGAAGCCAAAGCACAACTGCTCCACCCTTCCAGTCCCATCACACCTCATCCCCCAGCCCAACAGAGACACCTTTCTGTCTGCAGCTCAGACCTGCTCTCATAGTTTCCCTACCCAGCAAGAGTGCTGAGAGACAGAAAGAGGCTCTTAGAGGCCAGTGCTGCAGCTGGATCCAGCCAGTACTTCACCACTCAGCGTGGTCCACGTCACTGGTCCCTTCCTGCTCCATCTTCTTCAGGCTGGTGGGTGAGAAGCACAGAGAAGTGGGGAAAGGCCAAAGCAAACCACACTGGGAGCAATTAAATACATGAGAGCCTGGAAGATGTGGATGGATGGAGACACTGAAGCACATGCGGTGTGAGGCAAGGTGCTCTGGCCACTGGCACTTGGGGTGGCAGCTGCCCCATGGTTGAGGCTGGCATTACTGTAGGGAGCTGCAGCTGGAGTGGGGCAGCCCCAGCCAGAGGGAAAGCATGAGAAGACAAGGGGAGTACTGCAGTATATCATCCACTAAGCTGTGGGGTCTGCAGTAAAGAAGGTAACTGTTCTGGTAGAAATTTGTGCTTTAATATATTTTTGTTTGTTTGTTTAAAACAAGTTCGCACTTCCCTAAGGAAGCCCTGTCCAACATTCCCAAGGAAACATGGGGGTGTTTTTTCCCTCCTTCATTTGCTCTTCACATTTCTTCATCCCTATTTTTTTGTCTTTCATTCCTTCTTTTCTGTCTGTTTCTGTTTCTTTTCTTCCTTCCTTCCTCTCTCTCTCTCACTCTCTCGTGCACGTGCTTTTAAAAAAAGTTTTGTCTTTATTTTTAAACTTTGTTCTAGACATTATGACTTTCTCAAGGAGTGCTCCAGTTCTGAACCAGATCCCTTTGCGTGGTCATGCCTGTCAGTCTTTGGTAACATATGGACACTTTGGTGTGCCAGTGAGGAGGGTAGGAAAAGGAGCAGAGGTGGCTGATCAGGAAAGGAGCAGGAATGTCTTGGTCCGAAGACAGGAGCGCTCGCTTGCCATCATCTGAGCAGCACGTAAAGGAAGAAAGTCAATGGGCCACAAAGACAAGGGCTGTGCAGGGCTGGGACACCACTTCCTGGAAGAGCAACCGCTGGCAACCGAGAAGAGAGAAAGAGAATTAGTGATGGGACAGATATAGACCTTATGAAACAAATCAGCACACATCAATGTCTTCTCCCACACCAAAACACCCATATTTATTGGAAGATATTTCTAGCCTTTCCTGGACATTCTCAAGGTTTCCTAAAACTATTTCTTTTCTAACTTTGGAGAAAAGGTTGAATCTTAGATACTTTTGCAATCCAACCCTCCTTTCATCCCCAGAAGTTTCAAACTGAGTCAAGCAAAAGGTTCTGGTTGTGTTCTGGTTACAGGTTGACCATCCTAGGCTGAAACAGACCTTTAACTGCACATAAAATTTTGAAATTTTTAGGGTGGTCTCACTTTTTTTATGTTTTGTTTTCCCCTTCACCTTTGAAATTAAGAAAATTGCTGAAAGTGACTCTTACTCAACAAGTTTTTTTGTTTCAAAAATAACAAAAACTTGCTCACAAGTGCCTGCCTGTCTCTGGTTTGCCTACTCCAAACGTGTCCTCCTGCCCACCTGAGGCATGTCATCAAGGACACAGGCAGGACTAAGGCAATAGGCACACCAGTGATTCCCACTCGAGGGTGAATGCCTCCGTACTGCTTACACACCTTGCTATGGCTTCAACCTACAGTGCATCCCAGTGAGAGTGGAGTTGTCTCCATTACTGCAGTGGAGTTATGTGGATGGACTAGATGGACTGGAAAGGATGGACTGGAAAGAGACTGGTGGGATTTAACTCAAGTGCTAACTGTCAGGATTGGGAGAGAGGTGCCATACAGCTCGGGTAGCTTGCTCCCATCCTGCATGTGTGATACCCTGCCTGGATGTGCCTCTCTGCTCAGAGGGCAACAGGAAGAATCCCAGCCCCTTTACTCCATGCCCCAAACAGCAGATTTTTTTTCCTGAAGAAGGACTGACTTAACACTGCAGAGGCCATTAAATCCTGCAGAAGACCCTTCCATTTCCAAAGCTCCCGCACCTGAGGTTTCCAGAAATGAGATACTGCAGAAGTCCTTAGCTTCTTTGGGATGACACCCCCACCCCACATACTGGTGCAGACTTTAGCATGCTGGTGTCTGGCACCACAGCCCCTACAGGATCTGGCTGTTCCTTTGAGCTCTGCTAACTCACCACTGTAAAGAATAAGTTCAAGAACCTGACAGCTCCTCTGCTGACTTCTGCTGATGGAGTCAACCAGTTTGTTGAGTCCCACCAACATGTACTTTGAAATTAGCTGCGCATCCTTAGTGCATGCATTTTTGAATGCACTCATACCAACTTGTTTGCCTCTGAGGCACACACAGTCTCACCCTTATTTGGTCCAATTGGCTTCCTTGGACAGTCTCCCTTTTTCAGAGTGACGTCATCAATGGCAATGTCCCCCTCGTAGCTCGTGCCCCGGACACCTTCGAAAATTAACTGCAAGCAGAGCATGGGAGAGAGCCTGGCATGAGGCTGCAGTTGTGGAGGGCCCTTCCCGCACTGCAGGGCTCTGCAGAGGTGAGTAGGACACCTCTGCAGATCTTATCAGGTCCCCAAGTGAATGATTCCTTCCATTTCTCCAGTACTCATAGAATCTGGAAAGCCAGATCCCACCGCTTATGGGACCAACCTCCCTGTGCTGAGTGTCTGTACAGTAACAAATGACCATGTACAGCTCTGCTTTATTAAGTGTCCTCCGCTAACAAGCCAACCAATACTGAACAGTACTTGCAAGAGTAACTAAATTCTCATTTATTATTTTGAAGCACACTGGGCATTTTGTCACAGTGCCACAACTTACCAGCTTGCACAGAGCAGCTCTCACAAACAACCCTACAACAGCAAAGTAGCCTGTTGGGTAAAAACATCAGCAATAAAAGCAGCCACTTCCTGGCTACACATGAGCGACTTGACGAGCAGATACAGATTGTCCAGTTCATACTCACAAAATCAAAATCTCCTACAGTCCTAAACCAGGGGGAGAGCAGAGGTGGGTTCTTGCAGCACATGCTAGAAGAAATCTCTAGCACTCAGTCATTTTACACCAACAGCCCCCAGATGTTAACACTAAGAGACCTGTCCGTCACACGGACACGGTACCAAAAGGTACTCTTTGATAAGCCGTTTCCAGATGAGCAATAATCAGAAATTTATAGTGCCAAACTGATGCTTGCACATAACTTCAGCAAGCTTTTGCTTTGCCCCAGTGACCCTGGGGTTGAGAGCTCCCAGTGCCCCACCAGTGCCTGTGCCACAGAGGCAGATGACTGCTGGGAAGGCTCCTACATCCCTGCCACATGGACAGGAAAGGTGGCAGGTGACTCCTTGACTGTAGAGCTGACTTACCTGGAAGGGCCCAGGCGGGTTGATGGGCACATGTGCTTGCTGCCACATGTTCCCTCGGTTCCCACTGAGTGACCAGACCTGGGTGTCGATGGCTCGCTTGTTCCGCACGCGGACTAGCAGGTTCAAGGAACCTGTAAGAGAGAAACCAGGTGCTGGTGTAAGGGGGCAGGCAGGCAAGCCTGCCTGCTGAGCTGGCTCCAGCATAGCTCTGGGGCTCAGCCTCAAACCATAGCTGTATGCCCCAGCTGGCCCAGGGACAGCCTGCAGAGCCGCAGCAGTAATCTTTGAAGGGAGCCAGCTTTCTTCTCTGTTGATGGATAAGTGCCACTGGCAATGTTTCATCCACCTAGACTATCCAAGGGAGGACACAGACCCAGACAAAGAGGGACAGGACGAGGAAGAGGAAGTTTACAGAATGGCTGGGGTGGCACAAGAAGGGGGTAGCAGAAATGCAAGCTGCCAGGGACCTCCAGAGGCATCCCATCCAACCTCCTGCTTGAAGCTGTCTCCCGCTCTACAGGAGGGCAGCATGGTTTTATCTGGCCAAGTCTTGAATTTCCCTGAGGAAACCAACTTTTCCTAATGTCCAGTATGAACCTTCAGCACTAACAGTTGTTGTCACTGTAACCTACTATGTTGTCTAATACTATGAAAAGATTTTGGTTTTGTCATCTTTGAATGTGCCCTTGAAACAGTTGGGGGTCAAGAGCTGATAGTAATCTCCTCTTTGCTGGACTGAGCCAGTCCAGCTCCCTTAGGAGCTCTTCCTCAGAACTTCTACTCCTGTCTTTGACCATCCTGATGCCCTTCTGCTGGACCCCCACCAATTGCTCTACATTCCACTTGAAATGGGGAGCCCAGAACAGGTATTTGTCTCCCTGTTCACCACTGACACCTGGCATATACTATGCAGCTTATAGCGCTCTCCCTGTCCTGGCCCTGGAAATATGTTGCGGAACTATGACCAGTGTCCTCACTCACCACTTGCCCTGGAAGCAGCCTTGGAGTGAGCACCGTTTCTTTGCGAGCACTGGACAGTATTGCCTGTACCACACCACCTAATACCATCCCAGCCCCTTGTTTTCAGAGGGACACAAAGACCCTGTGAATCATTCTTTCAAAAAAAAACCAATTCCCAAAAGGTTTTGTCTGCTATTAAACCAAAACCAAAGCCAACAAATTTCAAAGCATTTCCAGTTCTCACTTTGAAAAGTGTTTCACAGCCTTCTACCCTTCATCCACAAACGAAACCATCTCAGTTTGTGTTCCTGCAACATCTTTTCACTAGTGCCCTCAGCTGACTTCTTTTCCTATTTTGCTTAAGGGAAAAAACATTTTAAAGCATTCACTCAGTGTTAACCTAAAGACCTTTTTTTCCTCAAAACATCAATCAATCACAACTCTAGTTATGCTGTTGCTCATCAGTGTTTCTGGTCTCCATACAAAGATATATTACACCTGAGAGCAGAGGGGCAATAGTAACCCTTACTTATACATCTGTAGTCTGTCTGCACTTGGGATGCTGCATTTACACATGGGTACGGCCTTTCTGAGAAGCAGCAGAAAGAGGTCAGGGGAAGAGAGAGGGAAACAGACTTTCCTATATGACCTCTCTCCTATATGATCCCCCCAAATTCTTCATTCTTGTCACATCTGCCTTGGGGGCACTGCGTGAATCACAAGGACCTGGAATTACCCCCATCAAGTGCTTGGCTGTCAGAAAGTGAGAGATATATCACAGGGAGTTCAGAAATGCATAATAAAGATGATGAAATGTTTAGATTCTGAGTGAATGACTTACAAGAAAAGGTTAAAAAAATGAAATATGTATACGATTTAGTGAAATGAGGAAAGAAGGGTATTTTATTGCCTGGAAATATTCTGAAGTGTTAGCAGTAAGGCTAGCTGAGAAAACTAGATGATGGCTGACGGGACATAGACAGCGTATCCAATTCTCTTCCCTAGTGGTACCCAGTTTTGGATGCACACCATAACACAAGATCAGGAGGAAAATAGATGGTTTCTCTCTGTCTCAAGACTAGCTGGCACTGCACAACCTTGGTGGGCCAGAGGTAAGTGAGTGAGACCTCTCTTCTGGAAACACAGTGCCACAGACAAGAGATACCAGAGTCTCTGGCAAAACCAGGTTTGGACTGCTGATTTCTTGGCATCTTCCCTGCCCTCAGGAGCTTCCTACAAAAGAAAGTCCCTCTAAGAAGGATACCTAGTCCTCCTGGAGGTCCTTGTTAAAACTGATGGTTCACACAGGAACTACATAATTCCACAGATCAATGTCAACAGGAATACACTCAGAGCAGCTAATTACAGATGCCAGAGCCAGTGAGGTAAGGGACTGAGAGTGAATGAAGAATTAATATGAAGCTGATAGCAAGCGCGGATTAAAAACAACCACTGTCTATTTCACTCTCATTTGGGGACTTGTAGCTAGGATCTGCTGTGCAACAGCCAGCACTGGGACAAATCAGGCAGCAAATGAACTGTGATGCCCTAGGAAAAAAGGAAAGGTGAGATAGAAGGAAACCCAGAGAAGGAGCTGGAATGCAAATTAGTGCCTCCAAAGCACTGTCTGTAAATGCCTGGCCTAAACCCAAACTAAGCCTGAGCATATCCTGACTGACAACTTCATGTCCTTGCAGCATCAGGAAAAATGTTTCAACCTTTTGGACCCCAAATTCCCTAATACAACAATATTGATTACGAGAAGGCATTCTTCAAATGGTTGGCAGTTATCTACTCACAACATGCTGTGTTTCACTACCCCCGTCTACAGATGGAAAACTGAAGGTCAAAACAGATGAGCAGTATACAAATCAGTCAGACTTGTAAAGGACAGCCAGGTGTCACAGCCCTACCTGCAATTCCTGCTGAGTTACAGAGGCTCCCTGAGACTGGGAAGGAACTATAATACCTCCAGCTGTCACTGGGAATACGCTTCTAGGAGGCATGGTAGAGACTCTAGGACTTTAAACATCTGGACTGTCCCATCTGATTTGAAGCCACAGTATTGTAGATGTTAAAGATTGTGCAGGTCTTCTACTTTATTCCCTTCTACCAGGTGTCAGTCTGCCACCAGTTGCCAGTCAAGTTTAAGGGCATGTAGCCTGTGATGGAGGTACTTGTAAAAGAACCTCCAGATCTGAGCTCCAGGCAGAGCCATAAAACATTGCAGACTTGGACTACAGGAATCTCCAAGTCATCTTTCCAGTTCCTCAGAGCTTCTTTATCTGCACTTTCCAATCTGGCTTCAAAAGCCAACTTTGTGATGGAATAAGTGCTGCAGGGCTTTGTGTTTTCCAAGGGAAAACTTTGGGTTCAGCCCATCGCCCTAAAATCAAGCACTGCTCAGGATCTCACAAATTAAGTCTCAGGCTAAAAAGGGAGGTGAGGCCTGTGTAGATACGGACATCCATAGGTCCTGATCTCTGGTAGATTCACATCTGCCCACACCTACTTCCATGCAATCTAGCAATACCCATCTCATGCCTTATTAACTATCTTTATTCCCAGTGTAGCTTTCAGCATAGCACACAAGTTCAGCCTGAATCAACCACCTAATGCTTGTTAAGTGCCCCTCCTAGAGCAAAGACTACATCTCCAAATCCCACTTTGCAGGAGGTAGTCAGTGCACAGGCCATGCATGTGTGGGGGGTGAGAAGCCCATTTACAGCTGAAAACTGACTTGCTATGGGATCCTCAGCAAACTGCTTTTACCTACTTTTGTCTGCTGACACAATATGGTAATGATAATCAAGCAGGACAATAACTCTCAGTCACTCAGAAGGGAACTGAGAAACATAGCAAACATTTTATGAGACCTGAGGTAACATATAAGTACCTGAGCTCTTCTTCCCTTCCAGTGGTTACAAACTGAGGAAGAACCAGTGTCCTTGCTCTCCAACTTCCCATCAGTGCAGATGTGAAAGGCCCATATGGGATGTTCTCCAGTGCTGCAGTCACCCTTTTTGCCTGGTTTTAAACTGCAGTTGTGCCTACTTTCCTGTGTCAGAGTCCAAAACCAGCTGTCCAGTTTTGTTACCTATTTCTGTCATTCTTGCTCCTTACCCATCTCCCCTATCCAGCATTTCCTAAGGGCATCTGCTGGTGAGAGACGCACAAAAATAGACCATCTATCTCCTGCTAAGTCTCTCCAGCCAACCAGAGACAAATAAACAAAAGAAAAATCCCAGGACACCAGCAATCCCGTTGCTACCTCTTCCCATACAAGGCAATCTTTTTGCATTTGTCTTGTAATCTGTATTATTCCTTCTTCCTAATCAAAAGGGAGAATAAAGGCCAGTGACAAGTGATGAGGAATCAATTACAGGGAGAGCGAGTGGTACCTTCTGCTGGCTGCCTTTAAGACCAGAGCTGGCATTTCAAAAGAGTGGCACTCACACAAAAGAGCACCAGCTGGGCTGCCAGATACAGTAGCCCAAGGGATGCCTTTAAATGTTACCTTCTCATAACAAGAAAAGGTCTTCACTCAGTTTCCACAGGATGGGGACTTCACTGTTGCAATGAATTGCAGTGTAGATCCAGAAGGGCCAGCGCAGGCAGCAGTAGGAGGGAGGTAGGGTCTGTAAGGGCAGGGCCACTGGCACAGTCTGTGCAGAGTGGCAGAGAAGGTAGAGGTTTCTTCAAGAGTTCTCTGCAGGGAAACTGGAGGGGGGTCAATGCAGGGTGATGTTGTAGGAAAAGGCTAAGGCACAGCTCAGTTTATGTGGCTCAGATGGAAGGCAGGCAGCTGGAGCAGTCAGGAAGCAAAGAGAGGATGCTGCACGCTGAGAGACGGGGTGCCATGCCAAATGCAGCAGAGCTTCATGGGATGGGTAGGGAAGGCTCTTGGAATCTACAGCCAGGAGCTGGGCTGGCTGCAGGCTGGAACGCAGCCTGATCTCACTGGGACTCCCTGCTGTGCTCCTGCAGGATCCCTGCTCCAGCATGGGGCAATCTCAGGTGATCAGCTATTCACGAGAATTCCTGGCTGCAGCTCCAGTTTAGATTTGGCATCAACTGGGAAGTCAAGGCTGAAAGCCCCCATGGAAATTCCCATGGCATTTCAACTGCAGATAAGACAGACTGAGATAAGAAGCTGATTGATTGCAAGAGA